GTGGGGGGAAGGTGTTTTGAGATTTGGTTTTGTGTCTCGTTACCCTACTCTGATGTCACTGGCAATAACTGAAATTAATTTCCCCCAGTCGAGTCTGTTTTGCCCGTGACGATAAATGCCGAGTGATCTCCCTGTCCTTCTCTCTGCCCACCATCCTGTCGTTATATTTTCTCTCCCCTGTCCAGCTGAGAAGGGGTGTGATGGAGCGGCTTTGGTGGGCACCCGGCATCCAGCCAGGGTCAACCCCCCCACACCGAGCAAAATGGTAAAAGATCCTCATGGTGCTCGTTGGTGACCAGTTGGTTCAAAGCTAGGAGGCAAAAGCAGGAGTTTCCTGCACGGAGCCTGGTAACCACCAGGATCCTGCAGAGATCTGTGCCGGGACCTACTTTGTCCAACATCGATGAGCCTCTGGGAGGAGTGCGAACAGCAAGGTGGCAAAGTTTGGTGACACTGCGTCATCGCTGAGGGTACGAAAAGGGGCAAAGAAGAAAATGTGCGGAGCTCTTCTTGTTTCAGGTTTCTGTTGCGATTGGTACTCCAGGAGTGAAGCAACTTCGCCGTGAGGTGTGGACAGTGCTGTCCTGCAGCCAGCTGGAGCAGAAAGCAGCATTAGCAGATGTGACAAGGAAATGAGCTCATGAATCATTCAGAAGAGTGGTTTTCACATTTCATTGACCAAGCTATCTTTCAAAAGAACCAGTACCTTCACGTATGCTCAGACTTCTAGAATATTGGGTGATAAAATGATTCTTCTTTAAAAAGCTCTCAGGCCGCAGACTGTCATTTTTCAAAGCTGCTTTGCTCCACAGCTTCTGCTGATTTCAGTTGAGTTAGTGAATAAATTCCCATTAAGCCCCAAACAGTCCTGCTGTGCCATTCGGCCAGCAGGAGGGGGAAGGTAAAGCTGATGGGAGGTGTGTGGATTGATTCATTCCTGACTCTGGGTGCTTTATTGTTTACTTTCTTCTGTTCTTCAGGGACAGGAAAGACCTCAACCTTGGTCAAGTACGCGGAGAAGTTTGCTGATCTGAATTTACTTTACGTGGCCTTTAACAAAGCTGTTGCAGAGAGGGGAAGAAGCGTCTTCCCCAGAAACGTTACATGCAAGACTTTCCATTCGTTGGCCTTTGGAAGTGTCGGCAAACAGTGAGTGGGGATTTTAGATTCCTTCGTTGAAGGCCAGCGGAGCAGGGAAAAGACCTGGCAGGAGAGGGGAGTCTAGTTTTGAAGCCTCCAGGATTTGAGGAAGCAAAAATAACGGGGGAAATGATTTCTTTCCCCTCCTTCAAGCCAGACTGTGATTTATAGTTTCTGAATTCTTTCAGATTGGATGGGACGGTGCTTTTAGCATCCGTGTGAGCCTGGGGAAACAGACTTATTGCCCTGCTCTGGCACAGACTGCACTGACATAAGTCCCATTGCTGGTTTGGGGGCTGCTCATCCTGCCTGTGTCTATAGCCAAGGAGCACCTCCCAGGCAGATAGAAAGCCGCTGAGAATGGCTTTTTTTCCCCCATTTCCCATTCACACTTCAGTGGTACAACCCCTCTAAATGCTGCTTTTCTTGACCTGAGTTGTTCTAATGATACACTTTCTGGCCAAGTGTGTTGGCACATCTAAACTGCAGACAGAAGGGAACATGAGTCACAACCTGGAAAAAGAAGGGAATCCTCTTACCTGGCTCTGAAAACAATCTGTAATTGCAGGGGAGGATGACACTAATATCTCTCTGGCTTGACTTTTCATCTATAAAATGAACAAGTTTGTCCCTCCACCAGGATAAACATGTGCCAATTTTAAAGATTACTGGGTCAAAGTGGGTGTATAAAAGAGAGCTTCTGCAGGTGTTGGCGTGCAACAGAAGCAAAAGCGAGGTTGCTTTTCCAGGAGGCTTTTCAGGTGTGTTTCAACCTCTTTCTCTTAATTTTTGGTCCCCTGTGGTACAGCTATAAAGAAAAAGGCAAGCTGAACTTCTCCAAGATGTCGGTTTACGCCATCAGTTTCCTTCTCCGGAACCGCGAGGGACAATCTTTGTTCATAAGAGCAAAAACAGTCTCGCAGACCCTTGAAAACTTTTTTGCCTCTGCAGACGGAGAGATCTGTGAAGAGCACACTCCTATTTGGTTCAAAAACACTCATGGCGAGCGAAAACTTGTCAGTCAAGTAGAAAAGAAGGTGAGTGTCTGCCATGAAGGCAGACTTGGGCTGCAAGGTTTAGAAGGGGCTGGTAGCTATCCCACGTAGAATCATAGTTCACGGGGTATTTGTGCTTCAGCTGTAAGAACTGACTGTCAAAATATTGTTTTCCTCTGGTGACAAACCCAGAGGAACCTGTTTTTTCCCTCTGTTTGCACAGCTAGTTTCTAGAGAGGAGATTATCGCCATCTCTGCTCAGTGCAGATGTTTCTTCCCTGCAAGGAAAAGAGAGAAGAGATTGCGTGTTCTTCTATCAGTGCCTGAACAGCGCTGTGATATTACATGTAAAGAGAAGAAACACTTCTGTAGTCGTTTTGATACGCAGAGCCAAACCCCAAAATTCTCTTAGCAGCACTTAAAGGGTAGCACTGACTTTGCGAACAACGTGGGCTGGAGTTGCGGAGGAAATCAGCCTTTCTGCTCTGCATTGATCACATCCGATCAGCTCCAGTCCAGCCAGCAGAAATCCAATTTGCAGTCGTTATTTCTGGCAGAGAATGAATTAGCAGCCTCAAAATATTAAACACCTCTAAGCACCTTGCCAGCTGTCCAGAGTAGCCAAAATAAAGCCTGTGATAATGCGCAGAAGTTAGAGGGTGTTGTATTGCAGTGTCCTAATAGCTGGGCCAGAGAAATGCTCTTTTCAGGGGGCTGCGTTTAGAAAAGCCTGTGTGGAGGAGGAGTTAACTGGTGGTGACCCAAAAGAGGAGTAAAGGCTTCAGAGAAGCCTTTCAAGATCTGCTGTGCCTGGGCTGCTCAAAGAGATCTATCCGGAGCCTTCCGTTCTCTCTTTCTAGATCAATGTGGAGGAGGCGAGAGAGATATGGCACAACATGAAGAAGCTGGATGGAGATGTAGAGAAGAAGTACAAGATGACTTGTGATGGTAAGAGAGTACAGACGTCAAGTGCCTTCAGATAAAGAACCATGGTAGAAAACTTAAACAAATTCCTGCTTCTGACTTCTGGCTGTGTACCAGCAACGAGCAATCAAAAACTATAAAATCCCTGTTCCTGCCACTGGCTCACCGGGGAGCTCAAAACAGGCCTGAAGGCTGGAAGTTTGCTCATTTTTGCTGTTTGGCCTCAGAAAATGGTGGGACTATTCAGATGTGCCTGAGTGGCAGCAAAATTGCAGAAATAATGGGTGAGACAGTGGGCGAACGAGTGCTACCAGCGAGCGTGTGTTCCTTGCTGCTGCCGGCGTGCCCTTCCTCTTGAGTGCGTGTAGTGCCGCAGTCGGCTTGTACTGGGGAGAACCTTCTTCCTTGTCATTTTCTTTGTGCTTTAAAGAGTTTTGGAGTCATCAGCACAGCTGCCTTCCTCCAGTGGAGTCAGGTGGTTTTGGGTTTGGTTTGTTTCATCCTTTGTACAGCCAAGGGAGATGGAGCAACATCTGGAGAGATTTTTACAACCCTTCCCGATGTCCTGCAGATTCCAAGCAAGAAGTAGGGCCAGAAACATTCTTTTTTTTAAAAAAAAAAAAAAGGGATTTGTTTTGAAGGTCATGGGTTTTTATGATGAGAAAACGACCCTCTCGCTGACATGCCTTGTCCTTTCTCTCAGGGTATTTGAAACTTTGGCAGCTCAGCAAGCCTCAGCTCTCGGGGTATGATGCCATTTTTGTCGATGAAGCACAGGACTGCACTCCAGGTGAGTGGTGACAGGAGACAGAGCTGCAACCTTCCGGAGCACTTTCCAGAGGGGAGGTTCGTGTGCTCAGGGGGGGTGTGAGAAGTAGCACAATTAAAAAAAAAAATTCTGCCCCTCAGCTGTAATGTTATAACTGACCTTTTGCTCGGTCCCAGATCCTTGCCAATTCAGTAAGGCAGCTTGTAAGCAGGCCACAAGAGCACACGTGCATCAGCTTGAGAGCTTGCTTTCCGCTGCTTTGGGCATCCAGACGTGCTGTCCGGACCCTTTGGCTATTGCTTTTCTGCTAACAGAAAAAAAATAGACCACCAGGGTAGCCAGGGACATGGTTTATCACAAGAGTGGCGAGACATTCAATGGTCTTGCCCGTTCCTTGCACCACCCTGGGGATTCCTGAGTCACCCAGCGGAAAGCTGCTGGCTTTTTTTTGCCGGGCTATGGGGAGCAGCTCTCTGTTGCAAAGCAAGTTTAATCAGTTCTGCGAAGGGATCTAAATGGACCAAGCTGCGTGTGAGGAGCAAAAGAAGAGGGGCAGAAGAAGGCCTGGTCTTTGCAATGGGTATTAAATCATCTCAAAGGCTTCTTCGGACCATCTCCCACCTGCACTCGCTGGACGCCTGGTCTTGCCAAGGCCTGGCTGTGCTTTTACAGCCGCACTCGACGCGAGCCGTTGCTCTGCCGGCGTCGCTGAGCCTTGTTGAGGCTTGGCCGAAGAGGTTGCTGGGGTGTGCGTTGAGTGCACGCGTGCAGCACGTCCGAATCACTGGGGGTGGGTGGTGGGTTGGTGCTGGGCTCACAAGTGTGGGATTAAGATGCTGCGCAGCTCCAGTCCGGGGAAAAAAATCAGAGTAAAATAGTGGGAGGATGTTTGTGGAGCTCCCAGTCAGCTGCGTGCTTCCCTTTGCTTCCCTGGTGTCTCCTGTGGCTGTGTTGGCCCCTTCTTAAATGCTGCGAGTCATCAGGCAAGAGATCTTGTACAGTTCACTCTTGGTTTATAAGCAGGCTGCCCCTTAACGCTCTGGGTTTTTTTCCTGTAGCCATCATAGATATTGTCCTGTCGCAGACGTGTGGCATAGTCCTTGTAGGAGACCCTCACCAGCAGATCTATACCTTCCGAGGCGCTGTCAATACCCTCTACTCGGTGCCTCACACCCATGTCTACTACCTCACCCAGGTAAGATGAGGGTCTGCTGTTGTCCTTCCCCGGGCAGCTCCCTAATGCGGTGGAAAATGATTCACATCCCCTTTCAGAAGGCACCTAACGGACTTCTTGAGTGTGTCACCGTGGGGTGTTGGCGTTGCCTGGAGTAGTGGCGTGCTTTGCTGTTCACACTTGGCACTGCAGAGCTCCGTCGTGCCTCTTCGTGGTGTGATCCCCTCGCTAGGAAAGCCACGTGGCTTGAAAAATGGGCGCTGGGGTAGAGACCTTCGTACATGGCTTGTTTCAAGGAGATCCTCTCTTTTCTGGGTTAGTGCTCAGCTCCAGCTGAGTGGGCAGGGGCAGATATCGTAAAATCACAGAATGGTTTGGGTTGGAAGGGACCTCAAAGACCATCCAGTTCCACCCCCCCCACCACGGGCAGGGACACCTCCCACCAGACCAGGTCGCTCCCAGCCCCGTCCAGCCTGGCCTTGAGCACTGCCAGGGAGTGGGCAGCCACAGCCC